TTGCAGCTAACAATGAGCTTGCTCATAGTAGATATATATATGAGAAATGCCTAGAAATGGAATTACATTGTCAAAGGTAAGTGTATTTAAGCTCTTGCTATTGCTAAATTGTTCTCTAGAAATGTTGCAGCAATTCACCATCCATCTTTAATATGAAAGGCTACTGGTTTCTCAATATCTTGATCACACTCCGCTCTCTATGACTCAAGACTATCTAGTTTCCCTTCATTCTTCTCTTAGTGAAAATGATCTTAGTTACAGGAGCTCCCCTTCATCTAGCCAATGACTGGTTTTCTTTTTTCCTCCAAAATTGTTTTCATGTTAGAATACACATTTTAAGAAGTTTTAGGTTCTAGTTCTTACTCTTAGCTACCATCTACCAAAATGCAATCTGAGATGTGACAAGCTCCAAAGTCCCTAACTTCAAGCATGTTTCATCTTCCATCATAGCTGCACTGTCCTAAAACGGCAGCTACCTAGAACTTTCCCTCATTGCATAAAATTCTGTTGAAAGTAGTGCCCCTTTTGGGGCAAAGGAACTATGACTTTTTTATCTTGACATCCTCAAAAGCACATTGTATATTTTTAATGAGAACTGATAAAATGCACACAATGAAGCCAAAGCAGAAAAAGAAATTTAATTTTTAGATGATATATTCCAGGTGCTTTTGTAAGAATTTAACTTGGTCATTCTACACAGAGCACACAATCATTTCAACATACAAATTACTCCACTTTGAATACACTATTTTAAATTTAAAAACGATTTAAAAGTCTTTGTCTTGTTTCCAAGGAAAATGAGGCAATATGTGTATTAAAACACTAGTTTGCAGCACTGAGTGTATTATAAGTAGTTCATGTTTTTCATCCACAACTTAAAATTTTAACCTGAGGAATTAGGATTTTTATTATCAGAACTGCATAGCAAAACCATGTCCAGATGATAACATACCAAATAATCAATAAATAAAGATAACATGTAAACCATTTAATAAATCCAATTAAAGCAAAAACAATTTTCCTTAGGATAGACACAAAATGATATCCAGGTTAAGGTTTTGAAATGCTTCATATGTGTGTGTGTTTTTAAATGACAGTGCAACAAAAGTCTAATGTTAAATGGGCACATACACCTTAAATCATTTATCCAATAACAACAAACTTTAACCATTGGTTGCTTGGAAAGAATTATTTAGGCCAAATTCAGTCTTTGCATATGTGGCATTGAAGAGTCATAAACAAAGTGCAAATGACTGGATGGAAACATAGCTTAGATCACTTACTTATGCTACTATTCTACAGTGACACACACTACTGCTGTGGGGGACATTTTACAGTTCTAGAAAGTTGCTACTGAGTAACAGGCCCAATGAGAAAATACAAAAAGGCCAAATCATGCAAACTAAAGAATGTTAAAGGGCATGTAGTCAGGGTTTTGTTTTTTAAAATCATGTTTAAAGTCCTAGTGATACACTTTAAGCACACTTTAACAAAGTAAAGGACATTTAGAAATATCCAAACATTTAAATTCATTAACTGAAAACAATCCCTTACATTTATGTAGCATTTTACTGTTGGAGCAATTTCATATACCCCATTTCATTTTGTTCCTCACAACAGCCCTGTGAGGTAGGCTGAGTAAGTTACAATTATTTTATGTGAGGCAATGGATGCCCAAAGATGAGAAATTATTTATATAGAGGATATAGATCTAGTGTATGGTAGAGTTAAGGTGATTAATTTTAAATACTTTTTAAAAAATGAAGCCAAATATTTTTATATCGAGAAAGTGTAATGACTAGTGGTTTTCAATATAAATTACTTTAAAACTTTGGCTATTATATATCTTATAGTATGAATTAAGTATAAATTTGATTTTAAAGAGTCTCCCTTAAAAGGCAAACTAGACTCAGTGCTTTGGTACCTAAGATATATTGGAAAAGTTAAATCAAAGCAAAACACATTCTCCTAGCCCTTAGGCTCTCAAAAAAGTTCCAATACGAATAGGAATGCCTTTTACCAATTACTTACATTTTGACTTAACAAAAATTGGTCTAAACTTAAGAAGCTCCAAGCCAAAGCGAACATATTCACCTACCTTCTGTCCTATATACTGTGAAATCTTCTGTATGTCTATTCCAAAGGACCAGCTTTTACTGGATGGGTGCCATTAAGGAAACATATCAGTTTAAACTAACATAGCGCAAATGGTTATAAATAAAAAGTTATTACCTTATATTGACCCAGAAATAGCAAATACTGTTTTAATTTAATTGAGTAGTCTGAGGAGAAAGTACTATGGCAATCTCTGGTATTTATAAGCCAATACTAACCTTTATATGGCATGCCCAACACTATCTTTTCAACAAAATATACTAAATGTAATGCTTAACTCCAAATTACTAAAAAAAACAACAATTAATACTCTTTTCTCAACAACAAAAAACCAACCTTAAAGTATTTGCATTAATCAAATATTCCAAGTAACAAAGCTATCATAGGTGACATATCAGAATCACAAGTATTGGCATAATGTGAATACTGTAAGATACAAACAAAAACTACACTGAACATGAGGTATGCTTTCTGTGATGATTAAAGAAACATTCATGATCTCATAATGCTCTAGCACTGGCATTATGAAGTGTACATTTTGTTTAAAAGTAACAAATAACTTTATGGTTACTTGATTATTAAGTAGACTTATGCTGACCATTCACTTCCCTAAAAGAATATATCCAGTGTAAAGATAAAATCAAGGGAGAAACTTTTATAGATCTATTTTATGTGACTACATAAAAATGAACATATTATGTGTAATACACTTATCAGAATTTGAATTTTTAAACTATAACAGATTTACCTTTTAAAATTTCTGATTTTTAAGATGTAAACTTTGTCATCACACTACCCAAAAGCAGCAAAACTATAAGCACAGTAAATCAATCTTCATTAATTTTGGAAATCTGAATACAAAGTATTACTGTCACATCACAGACTTAAAAAATAATTGTGGTATTACTTAGCCAAAGAATGAACACTGATCTAACAAATATAAGCTTTCTGAAAGAGAATTATAATGATTTAAAAATACAGTTCTTAGATTTTTTTCAATCTGGAACCACATATTTTATAGTAAGAAGTCTACACTTCCCTCTTCTGAAATTAATACTCTTTTTAAAGTAATCACTTTTCATAATATCCTTTTCCATTTGTTAACTATGTTTCTGAAAGAAACAATATAAATAATAATAACTTTATGGAAAGAGTATATTGAAAAAAAATCATTCTAGGTAAGTCATGAAATAGAATATTGTCATCTAATTAAAGTATTTCATGACAAATTATTTGCTTTAATTAGTCCTACCAGCAAGGATCAGTCACAAAAATTCAAATTATACATGATATTGTTCATGTTTTAATTTCATAAATGAGTTAATAAAACTAAGCCAATATGTTTCTTTAAATTATAACATGGGAAAAACTTTATAGAACAAAGCAGGCCAAGTTTAGCTGTACAGCAGCAGTTCATGGTTTGTCATAATGGTACACATGCCATCAATTAAACCCATGTACAGACAGGCATCCCTCTAATATTTTCCATTTGTTTACCTACACCGGGAACATTCAAAGAATCACTGTATATTAAATTTCTATGTGCAGTTATTAAATGTTTGGTATATACATATTTACCAAAAACTAAAGATGTATGTTACATGGTCAGCCCAAAGAATCAAAATGAATTGTAAAATTCTTTTTCTAAAGTGCTTAAGGCAATTCCTTCATTTCTTTATCCAATTTATTAAAACTGGTTTGGGATTCAACTGCTAAAAGAGAAATACAATACTAAAAGCATGTTTTTATAAAACAATTGTTTTAGACCTTTGATACATCCATTACTGTCAACCTCTCATGCATTTCTTTTACAGAAAGCAATCATGTTTGACCTGTCAAAACAAAGAGTAAATAAACCAATAAAAAATGTTTGAAAGGGTATACCAACTTAATACAAGTATTAAATTGAGCAAAAGAGCTCAATCTTTTTAATTTAAATGTCAATTATATATATATATATATATATATATATATATATATATATATAATTGACATATATATATACACACACACACACACACAGAGAGAGAGATGGTCAAGTTGAAATAGTTGATTAATTTGAGACTATTTAATTAGGCACTATAGCTCATTTTACTCCAGTGTGAAATGAAGGTGGCAAATTTTCTCCAGTTTAACACAAATAAACTTATAAACAACTAAACCAAAACCCCACGTATTTTGCTCTTTCCTTTTTAGAGTCCTTTAAGAAGCAGAGTAAGAGGTAAGTAAACCTCAGATTCTTATTTTGAAGTAATAATAGTATTACTTCAAGTGCATTTTCCAAATGAGAATTAGAGAATTTGTTATGAAGGGTTTTAAATGATAGCATGAGTACAGGAAAGAATCATATGCACTCCAGCAGCCCCTGATTAGTATCTCCTTTCCCCATGCCCCTGCAATAGAAGCCCTCACCAGTATAACATAATGGCCTCTGGCTTCAGTTGACAATGAATGGGATATGGGACATGGAGTAAAAAAGAGCATCCTTAGAGGAAGAAGGCACTGAATTAAAGAGAAGACATTTATATAAGATATAATAGTAAACAATTTATACAAGAATTTCTGGCTTTTTCTGTGTCATTTTTGCTAAAATATATATGTATAACAGTTCATAAAAAGCAGCTCCACCACTAAATTACTGCTTTCAGGTTTGACTCTATGAAAGACAATTATAACTTCCTGTTTCCTTAGGTCCTGGATAATCTGCTGTAGGAAAGAGAACATCCAAAAATTTCTATCAAAATCTTGAGGAGAAACAAAAACCAAAATTGTATTTGTTTGAAGAATCAAAAGAATATCTATTAATAATATTTCGTTCTCAAAATTCTCTCAGTCTTTATACTTTCAAATATACTATCAGTGGTGCAGGTATGAATATCCTCTGGAAAAATAATACCTAGTTTAAATAAAATTCCTCATTTAGATTTGTTTCAAAATGAACAAAACATCCTATCAGTAAGCAGTAAAATTCAAAAAAGAATGAGCTATTCCTATTCCGCAGGACTTTCTGTGATAACAACTGATGTAAGCAACGTCATCACTTCTTGGAAGAAGGTTGTCATAGTACAACATACTTAAAATGAGAGTGAATGTTAAAATGTTCCAAAAATTAAGGAACATACCAATTCAGATCTCTTTAAAACACTCAAGAAATTCTTTAATACTACTATTATTGCAACTTTCAGTTTGGCTCAAAGGACTTGTGTTATAAATTTTAACTTAAAAAAACAGGTATGTTCTCAATAACCATGGGTATTACTAGTTGTTAACACATTTTTCCTAACTTTGGGGAAGATTATTCTATGTTGATTTTTTCTAAGTAATGACTGAAAAACTTATATGCCAAGTAAGTCTCAGATAGGTTTCCCCCTCCCTCAAATACTTGTTTAAACTATTCCATATCTTACCAAAAGCATATATAAATGACCAGTATGGAATAGTTTTAGGCACCTCCCGTTAGAGCCTATCTTTCTTAGGTAAAATCTGAGTAGTGTAGGTTTTCCACCTTCCATATAATTTTAATAAACTTCCTTCCTACTAAAAATGTTAAAAATCAGTATAAGTATATTATCAGTTATTACCAAATCCAAGTGGGAATTTTACCAAAGATAACTACTAAAGATAGTGTTAAACTAGACAGCAAAATTAGAAAATATAAAGCATTTAAAAATCTTACCAATCATCCAAAATGATGGAATGCAAAGCAATCTAATTAAATAGGGCAACATATAAAAAATATCATTTGCCATAGTTAGCGCAGCAGGTAAAAAACTGAAATGTGGGTGATTTTAAGCTATTATGTTTAGAAACTCTTTCTACCCATTTTTTATTTTGAGTTATAACCACAAGAAAAATACCACGACATTTAGAAAACAGAAAATTACATATAATTTAGTCAATAAAACAAAAGAAGATAATTTGGCAAAACTCAACTTATTTATAAACGGGGAAAAACAAACCATTGGAAGAAAACGTGTCTAGAATCTCCAAACAATTTTAATATTTTGGAAACCTCAGAGGACTGTATATTTTTAAAAGCTTCAGTGTAAGAACTAAATGATATGCAGTAATAAGTGGGGGAAAAAATAAAGACAAAAGAAGGCCAGATTTAAATGCTTATTCTTCAGGCCCTAGGGCTACCATATGTAACTAAATATATCAGAAGAACCAAAGTAATCCAAGAAACACAAAGATGAGTTTCTAATTAAGTAACTATTTAAATACTGCCTTTTTCTCCATTTGCTCTTCAAAATATCAGTTTCTTGCTCAATCTCTGCTTGCTTCTATGACATTGCACTGTAGGTTCCTGTGAATATGTGGTACTAGATGCTTAATGCTAACAGATTCCAGGCCGTAAAGCAGAACGTAGCAAACTCATTTCCACCACTCACAAGTTCTATGATTAGACCACCCAATCAAAAGGAAAGGTGAAGCATTCTGAGTAGGCATTATTGAGTAACAATGTTTAGGCTGCTAGCTGAACCAGTCATTCCATTTTCACTTTTCTGAAGTGTTCTCACAGCACTTGGAACCTGCATCCCAGTGCTCAAAGAAAGTCCACCACACCAAACCTAAGAAAAAATAAAAACAAAGCTTCAGTCAGATTTCAAATTAGAATTTAAGTGATCCTAAAATTTCCATCTGAAAGGCAAAATGCCAAGTATGTGAATATCAATAAGTTGTAAACTGATAACCGTCATATTTGAGCTGAGGGGAAGTGGAAAGGCTAACTCAAGAGTGTTTTAGAATCACAGAGGCCAGAGGGAGTCTTTCTGGTAGCTGAACCCCCTGGAGTTGCACACCAGACTGAACTGAGGGCTGCAGAAATGTAGTGGTTAAGCTGGATTAATCTAAACAAAAGAAATTGGCTATCATTACTGATGCTAACTTTCACATCTAAGAGAAGTGCACAAAGAGCCAATTTCCTTATTCTAGTAACAACTTTAGATTTTGATGAAGTGTGCCCTGAGACTATAGGAATCTAACACCCACCCCCAATACAATAAAATACATTAGCTTCTTTCCTAATCTAACAATAACTCTTTTATAATTTTGTAAAGATTTCTGAGAAAAATAAAAACCCAAATAGCAATATCCAAATACACTTGTCATATTATATGAATGAGTTTATGAAAGATAAAATTGCTTTGCTTGAGAACAGAGAGCAGTGATTGTTTACAGTGCCTTTATTCAGAACTAGAGGCCTGGTGCATGAAATTTGTGCACTGGAGGGGGGAGTCCCTCAGCCCAGCCTCCCCCTTCTCACAGTCCGGGAACCCTCAGGGGATGTCCTAAGCCATAGTCTGGCCTCCCTCTGCCGAAGGTGACTGGCTGATCAGGGAAAGGCACTGCCCCCATCTCCCCCTTGCTGCTGCTGCCTCTGGCCTCCCTCTGCAGGAGGCGACCTGGCGATCAGGGGAAGGTGACACCCCCATCATGCCTCTGCTGCTGCCACTGCCAGCTGTGAGGCTGCCTGAGCCTTGGCCTTAGCAGCCACTGTAGCTTGCCTGAACCTCACCCGGCCCTCATTGCCAGAGCTTTGAGCCCTCGCAGTGGCAGTGGCCATCGACAGCTGGCCTGAGCCTCGGGTCGGCCCTGTGCAAGCAGCAGCAGCCATTGGCAGCTTGCTTGAGCCCCGCGCCAGCCATGGGCAAGCAGCAGCCACCATTGCATCCCCAACACTGCAAGTCCCTACCTATCCATGCCTGCTGCACACGTAACCTGCTGATCAGTAATTACTGTGACGGTATCCCAACCAATTTGCATCTTACCCTATTATTAGATTGCCAAAAACTGGAATGTCCACAAGTCCTTTAACTGATGAATGGATGAAAAACCTGTGGTGCATACATATTTGGAATACTACTTAACAATAAAAAAGAAGGGGCTACAGCCCAGCAGGTGTGACTCAGTGGTTGAGCATCATCACATGAATCAAGAGGTCATCGGTTAGATTCCCAGTCATGGCACATGCCCAGTTTGTGGGCTTGATCCCCAGTAGGGGGCATGCAGAAGGTAGTTGATCAATGTTTCTATCTCTCTATTCCCCTCCTTTCCTCTTTCTCTAAATTCAATAAAAACGTGTGTTTTTTTAAATAGGGCTACTGACAAACACAACAACACAGATGATTTCAAATGTCTGTGGGTGGACCTGGAGATTATTATGCTAAGTGAAATAAGTCAGAGAAAGACAAATACCATATGATTTTACTTATATGTGTACTTTAATGAACAAAGTAAATTGATGAACAAAATAGAAAAACAGAGGCATGGATCCATAGAATAGACTGACAGATCTCAGAGGGCAAAGGGAAGGGGGACTGGATAAAAGAAGAAGAGATTAGCCAAAGAACATATATGCATAGCCCATGGACACAGACAGCAGTGTGGTGATGGCTGGGGAGGAAAGTGTGGAAGCTGGATGGAGGTGGCCAAAGATGGGAGAAATAGAGGGCATCTGTAATAGTGCCAACAATGGGGGGGGGGGGGTAAAAGTCTACAAACCATATAATTCCTTTCTATGATATTTTGGAAAAAGCAAAATTATAGGGACTAAAAACTGGTTAGTGATTGCCTGGGCTGGGTGTGATAGGAGATGTCTACTACAAAGAAATATGAAGGAATTTTCTAGGGTGATGAAATGTTTTATGTCAGTTATGGTGGTGGTTATATAACTGTATGTATTTGTCAAATCCCACAAAGCTCTACACTACTGTAAATTGTACCCCAATAAACCTGACTTTAAAAGAGAAAATTAAGCCTCACTAGTGTGGCTCAGTTGCTGACCGCTGACATGTGAACCAGGAGGTCACAGTTTGATGCCTGGTCAGGGCACATGCCAGGGCTGCAAGCCCCATCCCCAGGGGGGGAATGCGGGAGGCAGCCAATCAATGATTCTCTCACCCTTGGTGCTTCTGTCTCTCCCTTCCTTTCTGAAATCAATTTTAAAAATATATTAAAAAGTTAAAAAGACACCAATAAGAGAGGGAAAAGGGAAGCCAGAGTGGAGAAGATATCTATAATACATATGTTTGGCAAAGGACTCAGGCTGTATAAGAACTCCAATCAATCAATAAAAAATAGGAAGAAAACCAAAGGAAACATAGGCAAAAAACTTGAACAACCATTTCACAAATGAGTATATTATAATCCTACCTAATAAAAGTGTGATATGCAAATTAACCACCACTCTGCTACACCCATCAACCACGCCCACCAGCCACGCCCACCAGCCCATCAGAGCAAATATGTAAATTAACCCCAACCAAGATGGCTGCCACCACAGAGAGCAGGAGGGAGACTTGGGTTTCTCTGGCAGTGGAGGAAGCCAAGCTTTCCACACATCCTGGCCAGCCCAGACCTCTACTCAAGAATACAAACTTTTAATTATAGAAGGTAAATCCCAAGAAAAATGGCAGCAGCCACGGAGCTGGAGAGAACAGGCTAGGGTTGCCCCCCACAATGAAGGAAGCCAAGCTTTCCACCTGCCCCTGCCAGCCTAAGCCTCCACTTCAGGCTACAAAGTTTCAATTATACAAGGTGAATAAACCCCAGCAGAAATGGTTGCCACCACAGAGCAAGCAGAAGGCTAGGCTTTGCTCCAACCTACGAAGTTTCAATTGTAGAAGATAAATATATCCCAGATACCAGGACCTCCACTTGGGTCGCTGAGGGGCATGACAGACCTGCAAACCACCACAGGCCCCTCACCCATGCTGCCACATGCCCCAAGGGAACCCCCATCCCCATCCTTCAGGGTAAACCAGCTGGTTCCCACTCATGTATCAGGCCTCTATTCTATCTAATAAAAGAGTAATATGCAGATTGACCATCACTCCAACACACAAGATCAAGATAGCTGCCCTCATGCCGAAACAGGTTTGGCTCAGTGGATAGAGTGTTGGCCTCCGGACTGAAGGGTCCCAGGTTTGATTCCGGTCAGGGGCATGTACATTGGTTGCGGGCACAACCCCGGTGGGGGGTGTGCAAGAGGCATCTGGTCGATGTTTCTCTCTCATCGATGTTTCTATCTCTCTCTCTCTCTCCCTTCCACTCTGTAAAAAAATCAATAAAATATATATTTTTTAAAATGAGTGCAATCCTATGAAAAGTCATCAAACTGCATGCTTATGATTTGTGTTCTTTTTGTATTATCATTTACTTTAACAAAATATAACAAAAATACACAGAAAATCAGATTTAAGAGGTGGATTGGTGAAAAGAAGGGAAATATGAAAAAAAATAAAATAAAATCTGCTTCCCAATATGTTCTTAAGTTGCCAATCAAATAAAATATAAATTAGATACTCACCATGAAACCAGGTAGTACTGGCTGAGTAAATTTTGTCTTAAAGGAATACAACAACTGTTTTGAGTTTGCATCATAGAAAGAAAGTTGACCTAAAAGGAAAAGAAAAAAACCCTGATTATACAAAATACTATAACACCTAATTAAGGCTAACATAAATAATGTATCTAAGTGGCAACTAAATGCATACTTTGACATTGTTTTTGCTACAAACTATAATGGATTGACTTAATAATTTTTTATTGAAAATCAGTAGAAAACATGCTTAAGAAAAAGCCAAAATCCAATTTTGTTTCCCAGGTTTTCAAGATCTCCAGAGTGCTTCCTTAATCTGGCAGTATTCTACTTATTCAACTATAAACTATTTCCTTATCATTATTTAACAAATGGTTCCCCAGTAAAAACTAAGGTGATTTCTTCCTCATTTTTACTATAACTAGTCTTTACCCAAATCCTATCACCATTTAAAGTTTACTCTATTAAACTTTGTCTTCTAACTACTTGAAGCCATAGTCAATACCTCAGTCTCTGAAATCATAGTGTAGCTATCATGGCTTCAGCTTTGTTAATTTTTAAAATCCTCTGACAGCTGAAACCGGTTTGGCTCAGTGGTAGAGCGTTGGCCTCCGGACTGAAAGGTCCCAGGTTCGATTCTGGTCAGGGGAATGTAGGTTGGTTGCAGGCACATCCCCAGTAGGGGGTGTGCAAGAAGCAGCTGGTCGATGTTTCTCTCTCATCGACGTTTCTAACTCTCTATCCCTCTCCCTTCCTCTCTGTAAAAAATCAATAAAATGTAGTTTTTTAAAATTAAAAAATAAAATAAAATCCTCTCACAGTTTATCTTTCAAAATGATCAAGCAATTAAAATAATGGTGTTTTTGACTACCTAACTGTCCAACCTGATGGCCTCCTTTCAACTGATATCACTTCTTCAAATTCTTATCCATGACTATGCTCTTGGTTTGTACCCTAACCTGAGGATATCTAATTTTCTCCCTATTCTAAATGTAGATGCTGATCCAGACTCTTCTTTCTCCCTTAATAATCCGCTGCCACATGAGAAGAAATTAAACTAACATTTATCCTACTATTAAAACACTGGGTGCTGCCTAGTAGGCATGGCTCAGTGGCTGAGCATTGACATATGAACCAGGAGGTCACAGTTTGATTCCTGGTCAGTGCACATGCCCCAGTTACTGACTCAATCCCCAGTATGGGTCATGCAGGAGGCAGCTGATTAATGATTTGATCTCATAATTGATGTTTCTCTCTCTCTCCCTCTCACTTCCTCTCTGAAATCAATAACAAAAACAAGGAAATACTGGGTGTTTTACCTAAAAATATTAAGCAGCCTGATATCACAAAGTTGATAAACAGTAAAGCAGTAATGCTTAGTTGTTCTGTGCAATCTTCAGGAGCCACTCTGATGCTGTCTCTAATAATTTGCTTCGGCTCTGCTTTTCTTCTGAGTTCTAGCACTGAATTTCTAAATACTGCCAGACGTGCCATAATTTGTCCTGTTGGCATCTCATAGTTCTCCAGGACTCTGTTTCCTATTGATAACACTATCATCCTCTTATTCATATTGGCTGGAACCTCAGTCATCAACTCTTCTTTGTCTATCCCTCCAATACATATCTAGTTTTCAAGTTCTATGAATTCTACCTTCACACCATCAAATCCATTATTTTTCTTTTATTATTATTTTTTAATCTTCACCCAAGAATGTTTTTTTAAAGTAATTTTTAGAGTGAAGAAGGGGGAGGGAGGGAAACATCTATAGGTTGCCTCCCATACATGCCCTACTGGGGATTAAACCACAACCTTAAATGTGACCTGACTGGGATTTGAACCCTTTTTGATGTTCAGGACAGCACTCTAACCAACTGAGATAGTCAGCCAGGCACCAAATCCATTCTTGACTCTCACTGTTTAGGCCCTACTAACCACTCAGCAAACACTTATTAAGGGAGATATATATATATTTGTGTGTATGTGTATGTGTATGTGTATATGTATATGTATATAATTTATAATACATATATAATATATAATTATATATTATATATATATATAATTTTCCAGACAATCCTATATAATAAAACTCTAATATGTAAATTGGCCAAATGGTAGAACAACCAGTCGCTATGATGTGCATTGACCACCAGAGGGCAGATGCTCAACACAGGAGCTGCTCCCTGGTGGTCAGTGAGCTCCAACTCAGCCAGAAGCCAAGCTTACAGCTGGCAAGTGCAGCACCAGTGGCAGGAGCCTCTCCCACCTCTGCAGCAGCACTAAGGATATCTGACTGATGGCTTAGGGGAGCAAGCCTAAGCCATCAGTTGGACATCCCCCGAGGGCTCCCAGATTGCAAGAGGGCACAGGCCAGGTTGAGGGATCCCCCTCTCCCCTGAGTGCACAATTTTCATGCACTGGGCCTCTAGTATTATAACTGTGTATGGTGCCAGTTGGGTACTGGAAATATTGGGGGAACACTTTATAGGGTATGTGACTGTCTGGTCACTATGCTATATACCTGAAACTGATACAAAATAATGTTCAATGTAAACTATAATTGGGGGGGAAATATTTATTTTAATTTTTAAATATATTTTTATTGATTTCAGAGAGGAAGGGAGAGGGAGAGAAAAACATCAATGATGAGTGAGAATAATCAATTGGCTGCCTCCTGCATGCTCCCCCACACTGGGGATTGAGCCTACAACTGAATCGAATCAGGATCCTTCAGTCCACAGGCTGATGCTCTATCCACTGAGACAAACCAGCTAGGGTGGAAAAAAACTTTTAAATAAACAAAAATGACATAGTGCTAGAAACTATGCTGCCAAATCACTGCCCTATGATGGCCAGAAGTTGTGTGTACTACTTTGAGAATCAATCTTTAAAAGAAATGTTCTGATACAATATACAACCACAGGCAACTATGTTTGAAAAAATTAAATAAGAGGAGTGGCTAATGGTCAGAGGATGATAATCTGGGAAAAACAGGGCAAAAGCAGCAGTATTAATAGTTTTTAAGAAATAAGGATTATCTAGTAAATGTGAATTAGGGAACATAATTCTGTTTTTTTGTGTTTTTTAATGTATTTTATTGATTTTTTACAGAGAGGAAGGGAGAGGAATAGAGAGCTAAAAACACTTATGAGAGAAACATCAACCAGCTGACTCCTGCACACCCCCTACCGGGGATGTGCCTGCAATCAAGGTACATGCTCTTAACCGGAACCGAACCTGGGACCCTTCAGACCGCAGACTGATGCTTCAGCCACTGAGCCAAACTGGTTTTGGCTCTGTATTTCTTAAGATGTCAAAATTTAAGAGCAACAGTCTCCGAAGTTATTAGAAGACAAAGCGAGTCAATTTAAGTAAAACCTTCTACCAAATGCTATCTAACAACCAAAGAGGCTGCTTTTTAAGACAATAAACTTCACATAAGAAAAGTTCATCAAGCACATGAGTGGCAATTGCTTGTAGAGATAATGTAAAAAAGATTTTACACTGTTTGGTAGATGTATTGGGTAATTACTAAGGTCTACCCAACTAGAAAAATCTGACTCCACCACTCTTTACAGGTAATAAAACAAGGTCAGAAGAAATTAAAATGGATAAAAGAAATTTTAGCTTTAAGATTAAAATTAGAAAAATTTTCCTTTCAGACTAAATTAGTATATTATAGACAAGTGCTTTTGTAAGGCTGCAGGTGGACATCACACACCTTTCCAGATAAATCTGGAGCTCAAATTATGCTTATGATCAAATAAATCCTGATAGGTCAAAATACCCTTCCCACAATGTTAATGGAAATTCTCTATAGATGATTACCAGAGAAAAGTACTGAAATATAGGCAACTATGGTGAAATGAATTGTGAAAAAATCAGTAAACTTACCCCCATCAAAATCACAGAATACACCTATTCTCTCAGGAACAGTAACATCCAAGGCTTTGACTTTGTTATTATGCTTTGCTGCAAATGTGTTTTGTAGCCAGTTGTTGACATGGATACACCAACTAGTGTTTGTTTTTCCTAACTGGTCAAATTTCCCCAAAGTCTTGTATGCTACTCCCACACTATAGGATTTACAATCCTTCTGGGCCTTGACCTCCCAATAATGTTGTCCGCTTTCAATAGCAGTGTCTCCTGCAAAAGACCAGAAGGCAAATGTGACTCTTACCTCTTCCTTGTGAGTCACAGAGATTTGTACCTATCTCTTGTCCCATAAAATGGCACAAAAATCTGATTCAGGATGTTAACACTTATATATTTCTTATTAACTAATTTTTCTGAATATAAAAAGCTTCAGAACTTTTCCTTCTTACTATCCCCTCAAGAGTTATACAGATATGTGGAGCACTATGTAAAATGAAGTATGTTTTAAACGTATCAAAATAAGACAATCTGAAAACCTGCCAAAGTAATTAAAAGGGAGAAATTTTGGCAAAGATTCATTCAACAGAGGCAATCACTCCAGCTCAAGGTGAGTAGACAGTCCACCAGTATGATTGTAAGGTCTTTACTATGAGATAATGAAGAAGTGTATTTATCCTACCCAGCACTGTGTATGATTCCCCAGTAAAACGGTCTCTGCTGCCTCTTACTGCAGGTGGTCTGGAGCCTACAGATGTCCGTTTGGGGGATGGTGTACCACTTCTATATAAACAGGAACAAAAAGAAAAACATATATTATTATAGATGTTGTAAATGTTTCATAAACTAAAATTACAAATTACAAAAGGAAACTTTGGAAAGTTTTAAAAATTATGTTGCACAAAGAGCACCATTTAATTTTACATGAATTATTTCAGAGTTGTCAATGATAAACACTCACGTCTAAGTCATTAACACAAAGCAAGCTGAAAACACTAATATCATGCAGACTGAGCAAGGCTTACATAAAGATACAAAAGGGGGTAAAAACTCAAGAGTTTTTATAGTTTACATTTCTTGCAGTTAAATTTAAATAGAAGCAAAAGCAAAAATAAACTTATTACAATAAAAACTAAAGCAGTATTTATTTTTGTTCTGGATCTTTTCTTCTTAAAAAGTGAAACAGCAATTGCCCAAATCCATGCTCAGGATAATGTCAAGTAGTAGAAAACATTTCTCCTACTAGAATGGACAAGATCCAACCTGACCTCCTTTACATCAAATTATATTATACTAGAGGCCTGGTGCACGAAATTCATGCATGGGAATGGTCCCTCAGCCCAGCCTGCACCCTCTCCAATCTGGGACCCCTTGGGGGATGTCTGACTACCAGTTTATGCCCAATCCAATGGGATTGGGCCAAAACCAAAAGTTGGACATCCCTCTCGCAATCCGGGACCACTTGCTCCTAACCGTTCCCTGCCTGCCTGCCTGCCTGATTGTCCCTAACTGCTTCTGTTTGCCGGCCTGATCTTCCCCTAACTGGTCCATCCCCTGCAGGCTTAACTACCCCCTAACTGTCTCTGGCTTTGTCTGAAAAGATGTTCGGTCTAAAAAAGCATATTACCCTTTTATTAGTATAGATGGTAAGCTGGACAGTATTAGACCTTTCACTAACTCTCAACAACTTAAATCAAATCCCGAAGATGTTTTAAATTTAATAATTCTATAATACTGAATCACTGCATTTAAAAACAAAGAATTTATAACTTACCAGTAGTAAAGAAATGAAGGCATGGAAAAAGAAAAACAGACGTAACTACTGAGAACGGCAATTTAAATTTCAGAGAAAAGTTAAACAAAAGAACTCTGCTACTGCAGCATTCCAGTCTTCTGACCCAAAGTACATATTGCAAGTAGTACAATAGCTATTAATGTCCTATGTTAAACATGCCCCCCAATCTCTTTAACTATCTGAATTAAGGCTCTTTGTTACCTCTGCTCTGAATTATTTTACCAGCTTTCTAATGATCTCTTTGCTACCCAATTCACTTTTTTCACTGTTACCAGATAAATGTAACTGTGATTCTCCTCCTTAAAAATCTTCCAGTACTCTCTTACTGCCTACAAACAACTCAGTTTGGCATTTCAGGTTCTTGATTTGGTCCTAATTTGCTTTTCTGGCCCTTTCACCTATAGAGAGCACTATCCAGTTCACTGCAGTTTCTGGAGGAGTTGCATTCCCCTACCCATACCCCCACTCATATGCATATCTGCATTCCTAGCTTAGGCACCTCTATTCAGAGATCTCCTTATAGGTGGGGATCCTCAGCTGAGACCCTTTCCACTGCCTCTGCAGGGACCTCCAAGAAGGGGGCAGGGTTGAGGGTGTAAAGTCACTTTTCTCCCCTCTGTCTCAATACTTTTCTGTGTCTAACCTTTTCTTCTTCCATCTCCTTGGCCTCAGGTCCATTACAAACAGGATGAGCCTTTTGTTTGGGGCTTTCTTAGAAGAGAAACAATATCCACCATCTATGATCTGCTCTGATTTACCTGACCCTCACCTCATTCTGTTGAGAAAAATGGAACACTGGGCGAGCAAGCACCCTTTCCTTTGTGGCCTCTTGTTTACAGGATTATAGTCAGTGAATAAAAGGCTTGATTGTTACTTTGTTTGGCTCAGTGTCCTAATTGACCACTTCAGCACTTGGCAGATCAGAACCTCTTTCTTCCTGTAAATTCCTTTATTCCCACTTATCATTACACACACTCTCTACTTGTATTATTGTTACAGTATTTGTATATAGATAAAGTTCTCATCTACCTAAGTCAGGGATATTTTCTTGAAGACAGAAACAGTGGTTATCTCTATAAACCCCCAAATATCCAGCTGACATCCTAGAGTGAACAAATATTTATGGAAAGAATAAATGTATATAATATTCCAGAAGTAGCCTACATAGAAAATACTCTTAAAAGGAGGAAAGGGAGAAAGAAAAATAATGATATGAAATTCTAAATATAAGCAGTCTAAAAATCTCCTAGTGACCAAATGAAACTTTACTGATTCTACTAAATCTACCAGCATTTTACAATTTACAATATACTAACAATGAAATCATTTTTGCCAATGAGTGAATAAACAAACAAAAAAAAAGGAAGATAATTTTGAAAAGAAGACACATTTTGGTTTCTGATAAAGATATCTTCCAGTCAGCACATTATTACTTGTGCAATTTGAATTAATTCATCTTTTTGGTACTGTCCTAACAATTTCACTTAATAACCTTTACTTTTCATCCTGATGCTTTAAAAAATTGCATGATTCTTATAAAACACAGAACACCTCAAACCTGCCTCTTGTTAAATACAAATAAAAGCAAGAATATAGCACAAGGAAGATGCTAGGTATAAGTAAATGCAGAAAAAAGCCGGATGAGGGAAAGTAATTCAAGAAAGAATTTAAGCAAAGTTTATTTTGTTATCATATACAATATAATCTAAATATTCAGCACACATTAAGGGTGTAAATTCAAAACATAAGCTACTAATAGACAGTCTACACAAAGCAATATTTTAGCTTATGAAGGCTGCTGCAATGGCTTCTGCTTATTGGTTAAAGAAAAAAAATATTAAAGTTATTCAGCCAAGCTAAATATACTAAGTCCTAGAACTAGACAAAGATCATCACCTTGTATGTTTCTTCAATGAAGTAACATGGGCACTGTCAGATAAAAATAGGCAACTGTTAAAGAGTGCTTTATGACTTAAATTTAACAGCTTACAATAAAATCAGGTCAGAAGTCTGTGACGAAATTCTTTTTTTTTTTAAATTTGCCATTGTAACTCACACTGAGATTACCTTATTTCAGTATGAGAAAACATTTCCTCTGATAAAAAAAGAAAGAAGCCCCATACTTTGAGACTGTAAATAAGTCTGGCAACAACTAAAGGTCCCAAGCCTCTGGTTCATAAGTTTGCTGATGGGGAGCAAGGCACTGGGGTTGTGCATGCTAAAAACTGCCATTCGAGGAAGCCTTTCAGGGAAGACTGGTGATCTAAAATTTCGGGACTACTACCAGGAACTTTCCTCTAAGCACTTCAAGTTGCTATAGATATTAACTTTAAAGGAATGAGATACTGAAATAAAAATGTATAAGAAGAGAATTAGGAAACTAAGAAAAAGTAATAAAAATATTAGTGACAATTCAAGGACTGACCAACAATATTAATATATGTTTCACTTTCATGTTACTAACATATCATAAATCATATTGATATATAGAATAAGAACTTCATTACACTGAGTTATGGTCAAACAAGAATCAACAGATTTAAAGAACTAGCTTACCTGCCCTTGTTCTCTTTTCCTTTAACTTTGTTTTCTTGGCCTTTTCCTCCAGTAGGATCCCACTCTACACAGGTATCTTCAACTCTCAGGTTCAAATGTGATGATGAGCTATCCAAACTGAAATTAAGTGCTATAAAAAACATTTCGATTTTGTAAAAATGTAGCATATTCCCACTTTCTGAAGCACAGCTAACCACATTATTTTCCTACCCAATTTTTTAACACTGTATATAAAGATTATAGGAAGCCTAATGTTTACCTAGAATCAAGAATCCTTTTATCCTCTACTGTTCTATAAAGAGCACTTTAATTTCAACCTTGCAACTGACCCATTTTTGGGGGGGTCTTTATTTATACAATATTCTAAATACAAATTTACTGACCATAACTACTTAGAGTAATTGTCATGTTATGCAAGTAAATTAATAGCTTTCAAAATCTCCATGTGAACAGACATGAACTTACAAAAGGAAGAAATAATTCAGCTTTTCAGTAAAAATGGAACTAGAATGCCTAAATAGATAGGTTATTAAAAAAAAATACGCCCTGGCTTGTTTGGCTTAGTGGATGGAGCATTGACCTGCGGACTGAGGGGTCCCAGGTTTGATTCTGGCCAAGGGCACATGCCTAGATTGAGGGCTCGATCCATAGTGGGGGCTGTGCAGGAAGCAGCACGATCAATGATTCGCTCTTATCATTGATGTTTCTGTCACCTGCTCTATCTTTCTTCCTCTCTTAAATCAATAAAGAAATGTGTGGAGTTCAGTGGTTGAGCATCCCCATGAACCAGATGGTCATGGTTCGATTCCTGGTCAGGGCACATGCCTGGGTTTTCAGTGCCTAATGATTCTTTCTCATCATTGACTAGAGGTACAGTGCATGAAATGCTAGCTGGATACTCCTTCCATATCTCTCACCCCAACCCCCCTCCCCTGGCCACCTGCTGCTGGCTGCTACTGCTGCTGCTGCTGCCAATTGCAGCCTCCCTCCGTTCCTCCAACTGGCCACACTCCTTGGTCAAACTCCTAAACTCCTGGTGGAGAGGGCAATTTGCATACTATGTTTTTATTCTATAGAATGTTTCTATTCCTCTCTTCCTTCCTCTCTCTAAAGTTGATAAAAACATGTCTTTATATATAAAAGGCTAATATGCTAAGTGTCTGACTGTTTGACTGTTCAACCAGTAGCTATGACACGCACAACCTCCAGAGGGCAGACACTCAATGCATAGGCATAGAAACATGGAACACAAGAGGGGGGGAAGGGCAGCAAGAAATTAACCAAAGATCTTATATGCATAGTAGAGGGCCAGTACATGGATTCATGTACTGGGCCTCCAACATTCCTCAAGGAGTACTGAATTGTGAGAGGGCGCAGGCCAGGCCGAGGGACCCCCATGAATCCATGCACCAAGCCTTTAGTATATATATAAAAAAGAAAACAGGGTTAACCTCTATATTACTATTAGGTAATTTAATGCATGTGAGGGCATTCATATTTTTGAGAGAATGAAAAAATGGATTTAACTCAAAGATGCCATCAATTCAACTGTTAAAATTGAAAGGCTGGTTTTAAAAAAATGATTTAAAAAATGATTTAAAAAAAGTAAAAAATCCTCAGGCAGTTCTCTAATGTGTCATATGATGGAGAAGGATGGAGTAAATAGTGACAGAAAAGGTATCACCTCCAAGACACTTGAGACCAGACTTATCAAATACCACAGCATCCAAACGAAAAGACATGGGTTTTAATCCCGGGTATGTAATCAATCTCTCTCTCTCTCTCTCTCTCTCTCTCTCTCTCTCTCTCATGCTATCTTTTTTATGGGACCTCAACTGAGTCATAGAGGCTAAGGTAAAAGGGATAACACTGCATAGTTGTTTTGTTTTTTAAAAAGACTGGCTCCAACAGTGAGATGTCAAATGTTAGTCCTGTCTCTTATATAAGCCCTATAATATAGCTAGATGTTAGTTTCCATATCTTTAAAAGTCTGTGATAACAAAGTACTAAGAAACTCAGAGCACAGGAATATTTCAAGGGTTTAATGTGTATCGGTGGCTGCTTTCTTGGTATTGTAAAATATTATAGCCATTACTATTTGAGTCCACAGAGTAAATTGTAATTAGTATCATAGCATTTACCTTTACAAGAAGTAAGAGATACTATACTTTTAAAATTCTGGTCATAAAAACTTACATTATGCACCACTTTTGACAATTCTAATGATGGAAGAAATAGTGCCACATACACTGGGGAGACAGATAATATTCACTATTTTTCACATCAAGCACCATAGGTAGCAGGTTATGAACTTTGGTAGTCCTCAACTATTTAATCTCCATTCCTCTCCTTTTTTCTCCAGTTCTTTGTTTATACACTTATTTCTATTGGTTGGTCAATAAGGACTGCATGCATCAGGCCAAGAAAATCAATAAACAATTGTTCAACATGTCATTATTTTAAAAATCTAGACTTTTCGTCTGGAGCTCCTGCTCTCATTAATAGCTACTCCTGTGCTATGGAATAGCTTTAGAAAATCTGTGACCCATCGATATCTAAAAGACAGTTTATTCTGGATCTCCCTGAAGTTCAAAATCACTGTTCAATAGGCCTCAGGTTCAGTTTCAGTCTATCCACACCCCAGGGGGTCTATCCCATAGTAAGAAATGTTTGAAAACACTAGAATCAACTAGTCTTTCTCTACAAACCCTTAGTTTACAAATCTGTTTAGTATAAATACATAAACACCACAGAGATGTGTGGAATCTGATTCTGGAAGTAAACCACCTCAATTATCATTTCACAACTGGTAAGATCTCCAGCATTATAAACTTCAAATTGGTAAATATCTGAAACATTTTCTGTATTAAAATGTGAAAGCTAAAATAAAACTCTAGGGAGTTTTAATTAATCCAAATTGCTCTCAAAGACTTTAGGCACCAAAATTCATGCCCTCAAAGGGGCTGGCACAGAACTTGAAACAGATCCTTATTCACATCTCCAAGCTAGTTCCAGGTATCATACACAAGTCACTTAACATACTATATAAACTTCACTTTCTTCTGAAAAATGGCTATCAGTAATATCTATTCTACTGATCTCTCAGAATAGTCTTAATGATCAAATGAAGAACTGTGAAGAGTGATTTATAAACATTAATAAGCTATATAAATGTTAATTTCTACAATAAGACTTAAGAAAACAGAGAACCTGAACTAAATGAAAAGACACTTCCCCATTACTGAGCCATAATCCATTCCCTGGGAAAACATTGGACACATCTCAATGATGTTTATGTATTTATACTAAACTGAAATTTGTAAACTAAGCAGCTACCTGAGAATATAACACTATCATCTCAGTCTATTTTACCTATCTGATCACCATGATAAAGGAAAAATTAATGCAAGCACTACTATAGTCCTAATTTCTCCATCTTAAAATTCCTGTTGTTGGGAATTCCGGGTGGGGGAAGGAGGGATAGAACCATGCCTCAGATAAATCCAGATGCTGCATACATAGCTACTGACCTTACCTTTGGTCTCTAGAGTCACTGGGTCAGAACACTCTCCAGCCACAGCTTTGTTACAAGCTCGCACTCTGAAATTCATATACTTTGAATCAAACCTTAAACCTGAAAAAATGAAAATGGTTTTCAGACATGAAAAATAAAGGAATCTACTCCAAAAGTAGGAGTACGAACCTTAAGACAAATATTTTTCCCTTTGTAGAACTTTCTCTTTACTCAGGAAGAATATAAATTTATGTTAAAACAATAATAATGCCTGAAGTCAGAGGAATAATGATTTATCTATTGTTTTCTTCAAAATAAGTTATACAGTTTATCAATGAGTTTTTTAAAACCTAGTGATAAGAGGTTCTGTCAAGCCTTATTAAAAGTAATTTTTGGAGGAGAATCCAAGATGGCTGCTCGGGTAGGCAACTAGCCGCAGCCGCACACAACAATTTCAATAAAATACAACTAAAATATAAAATGGACATTACCCAGAACTACAGGAAAGTTGACTGACTGGAAATTCTACAACAAGAAGCAAGGAGAAAACCAGAAGGAAGCGCGGAGGAGCTGTAAAAGCCCAAGGTACGGAGACACGGGGGGCGCGTGTGGAGAGGACGGAGCCGGAGAGGAGGGAGGCCGAGTGCCTGGCTGGCGGTCCCAAGCGGGAAGGAGAGAAAAGCTCCGACTGTGCTGGGCCCAGCTCCAACTGCTCTGAACCCCAATTCTAGGCCAGACCCCGGGGACCCAGGCTCATCCATAGGGACTCCGGGGAAGCGGCGAAAGGAGGTCCCGGAGGCCCACACACTGCGCGCAGAGAAGGGCCGGCCGGCTGTGCCGCGGGATTGCCCTGATAGGAAGGAGACAGGGGCTCCAGACTGCTCTGAACGCCACCTCCAATCCCACTACCAACTGAACTGAACCCCAATACCGGACTCATTGGGGGAGAGCATAGACAGTTTGGCAGCAGGCGAAAATCGAGGGCACCTTTCTCTCAGAGGCGCTCGCAACAAGTACTGAAGGACCCTGAGTCTCAGGAGTCGCATAGGGCGGGGCTGACGGAAGCCAAGGCTGTAGGCTCCACCCTGAAACTCCGCCCCATCAGGAAAGCTGCCTTAAATGCCTAAACCAAATAGATCACAAACAAAAGAAATGGAGGACAAAAAGCGACTGGATATAGAGTTCAAAACCACACTTATAAGGTTGTTCAAGAATCTCCTAGAAAAGGCCGATAAAATAAACAAGACCTATGAGGATATGAAAAGGGATCAACTAGAAATAATAAGGGATCAACAAGAAATAAAGAATACATTGTCTGAAATAAAAAATATTTTATGGAGTCCTAAAAACAGAATGGAAGATCGCAAGAATCAAGTCAAAGATTTGGAACATAAAGAGCCAGAAGACACTCCTCCGCAGACACAAGAAGGCCAGAGAATCCAGAAAGTTGAAGATGATGTAAGAAACCTCTGGGACAACTTCAAACGATCCAACATCAGAATTATGGGGGTCCCAGAAGATGAGAGAGAGCAAGATATCGAAAACATACTGAAAGAAATAGTGACAGAAAACTTCCCCCACCTGTTGAAAGAATTGGACTTACAAGTCCAGGAAGCACACAGAACTCCAAATAAAAGGAATCCAAAGAGGACCACACCAAGACAAATCATAATTAAGATTCCAAGAGCAAAAGACAAAGAGAGAATATTAAAAGAAGCAAGAGCAAAGAAGGTGGTTACCTATAAAGGAGCACCTATACGATTGTCAGCTGATTTCTCAACAGAAACCATGCAGGCCAGAAGGGAATGGCAAGAAATATTCAAGGTGATGAATAGCAAGAACCTACAGCCAAAGATAATCTATCCAGCAAAGCTATCACTCAGATTCGAAGGTCAGATAAAGAGCTTCACTAATAAAAAAAAGCTAAAGGAGTTCATCACCACCAAACCAGAATTATATGAATTGCTGAAGGGGGTTCTTTCAGAAGAGAAAGTAAATAAAGATAAAAATTATGAACAACAAATACGTAACTATCAACAAGTGAATCTAAAAACCAAGGAAACAAAAAAAAAATCTGAGGAACAATATTAACTGTTGAATATAATAGAATCAGAGATATGGAAGGGGAGTGAACTGTTTATTCTTGGGGAAAAGGGGAGTGGGGGATGTGGGAAGAGACTGAACATAAACTGTGCACCTATGGATGAGGACAATGGGGGGGTGGGGAAAGGGCAGAGGGTGGGGTGAGAAGGGGGGGAAAGGAACATTTGTAATAATATGAACAATAAAAATTTATTAAAAATAAATAAATAAATAAAAGTAATTTTTGTATTCAAGGATAGAAGCTGAAATTTAAAATAACATATTCAATTTCTAGAAAATAAACACCCAAAGGAATTTTATATTTATGAAACACTGTCATTTTTTGTGAAAAATAGATTTAAAGAAAAGTGAAGCATATAGTTTAATAGCAAAACTCTGAAGTTAGTCATGTCTAGATTAAAATAGTCTAAAATTACTAGCTGTGGGACTTTCAACATGACAGAGCTACAGTTTTCAATCTGTAAAACAGAAATAATAAAACCAACCTCATAATTCTAAATGAGATATATTATACTGGTTAATTGAGATGTACTATGAAATACATTTCAGTCTAGCTCCTGACAAATGGTAAGTGTTCAATAATAGTAGTTATTAATGTTATTGATCATTCATAAGAAGCATTTACCAACTCAGGTAACAATTAGTCATTTCAAATACACAAAGTCCCCTATATATGGAGATATATTTTTAAAGACTTTCATAAGGCTAACATACAAATTTCTAATACCAAGTCACAGTTCTACTCTAAGTATTATTGTGAAGGTAATCCTAAAAGGATTAAAGGCAACTATATTTGTGGAGAAGTGTGTACATCTAGAAAGTTGACAGTTTTTGGGTTGTTAGAAAACCAAGGTAAAAATTAAATGTTATTCAGAAATATTGTTTCCAGAACAACTCTTCATGCTTGTTCTACATACATTGTTTTACCAGGCTGCAAATATCCAAAGTAATTTAAATTTTAGAAGAGAAATTCACTTCTATAATGAATACATAAAAAATCGGTTAAAGAAACTTAACATTATCTTTTAAAGTAACATAAAATATTTTCTCAATTACATTTATTTTCTGAGAAAGATTCATGAAATGCAGTCATTTACCTGACAGTGTATATTCGTTACCCTTAATATTATCAATTATATCCCAACACCGCTCATCTTTTACACGTGGAAGTCCATCAAAATTAGTTTTCCTATATTCCAGTATAAAATGGTCAATCTTATTATCTTCTTCTGGCATTCTCCAAGCTACTGTTATAGCATTGTCAGCCACCAAACACTCTACTGGATCTATCTCTGGAGCTTTGGGGACTGAAGGAAAAAGAAAAAGGCTATTATAGTAGTAACCCAATATATAATCTGTCATTCAAACTATGGTTTTTCATGTTGCTTTTGAATAATTCAATTGAATCAGGCAAGAGAAGAGATATCCTATGCATACAATATGTTTTTCAAAGCTCTGTTTAAAAATTCATGTTTAAAAGTCTTTTCATATACTTATTCAAAGTTTATTAAATCCTAGTTAGCAAAAAGCAATTCAAACACGCTAAGAATAAAGAATCAAGAATGACTTGTTACTTCTCAACATGTACTTTTAATCTATTTCAAACAGCTATAGATTACAAATTAAATAACTATTGAGAAAATAACTTACTTTAATGCCAATAATTAAAATAATTCAAGGTATTTTCAATGTATTTTAAAAATCTTGTTTATAAAATAATTGTAATTCCTCAGCACTAAACAAAACTAAATTCCTCAACACCCAAATACTTAAGAATTTTAAGGTGTTTTTCAAAGAGTTTTCTGACTCATTAAGATAGGGATAAATGTGTCACAATTATCATGTATGAACACTGATCAACTTCTTTTCCATAAGATTTTTCCATAGCTCCTCAACATTAACAGATGTTTCATTTACATATCAACAGGCTAACTGGAGACTATAGTCTTTCACTGATACAGATGTGTCTGAAATGTGTGAAACTGTGCAGGTATTGTATTTAAAAATTTTGTCACTGAAAAAAGTTTTAGTGACACTGCTATCTATCAGTGTACTGAAAGTTGTAGTAAATGCAGTAAGACAAGAAAAGAAAGTAAAAGGTATATAGATCTGTCTTTATTTGCTGATGACATGATTATCTATGGAGAAAACCCAAAGAATCAATGAAAATTTTCCTGAAATTAGCAAGCAATTACAGCAAGTAAGTGGCAGCCAAGATTAAAATCTATTGTAAGAAGTCTGGGTGCAGGATCCAGTGCATTAAATTGTGGTGTACTGCTATGTCAAACTAACAGTAAAATGTATTCCTTAATGGGATTCTTAAAAATGGAATTTTAACTACCAGTAAAATAATTCTCTAAAAATTAAGTCTAGCAAATTTAATTATTCCTAGAATGAAAAAATTATGCTATATTTCTTTAATATTTACCTTCCAATATTTATACAGAAAAATCTTGCAGAAAATATACTTTTATATATAAATTTACATGAAATATATGTAAATTACTCACCTGGCAAAAACTTCAAAGTCTGCAACATCTGTCTTTCCTGAGAAAAATCCACCATTAAATGAGTCATGCTGTCACTGACTTTTGGTTTCAAAGAAAGGCGAAAGGCTGAAGCCATCGTTACTCTACGGCAAATATAAACATGCTTTTAAAAATAAAAGAATGGGAAGTACCATATATTTCATTTATAAAATGAAAAGATAAAAATGATTTCGCTCTAATGATTTCAGAAATTTTAATAAAGATAACAAAACTAAATAGAAATTTGTTTAGTCTTTGAAAATTAACTAAATAAAAAAACTGTAAAGTGTATCTAAATTTAAAGAAACTTTCCTCCAGTCAGTTTTATAAAACTGCATACAAATACAAGTATCAAAAGAGACAAATATTCAGTATAAATAATCTTTAACAGACCCAACAGCCATCTAAATCTCTGTATACTCAAGCTTACTGACTTCCTGATGCCAGCCTCACTCCTTTTCATATGCCAAGTAGTAACAGCTACTCCATGTGTCCTCAAATAAGAGTAGAGGTACACTGACCAAATACTGCATAGCTTAGTAGCTGCTAAGGACAGGTCATTGATGAGAAAGGAGAGAAGTGAAATCACTAGTAGGTGTCACTCTGATTGTCAACATCGGCTACATGGAAGAATATAGGAGAAACACCACTGCGAAACCACACATAGAAATAGCAGTTCAATAAATATTTATTAGATGAATGTGGTATAAAAAAACAAAAACAAAAAAAGAAAGAAGCCATACCAGACCTCATTTAATCCACAGTATGGGGAACCTGTTCTGTCAATTAAAACTGGGAATAAAGGAAATGATCATATTTGGCCCAGCTAGCATAGCTCAGTGGTTGAGCGTCGACCAATGAACCAGGATTTCACATGTTCGATTCCCAGTCCCATGCCCAGGTTGTGGGCTGGATCCCCAGAGTGGGGTGTGCAGGAGGCAGCCGATCAATGATTCTTTCTCATCATGGATGTTTCTATCTCCCTCTCCCTCTCCCTTCCTCTCTGAAATCAATAAAAATATATTTTAAAAATATGTATTAAAAATTATCATGTTCTATTAATTTGTCATTTTGTCTCAAATTTCAGTTTTTCATATTATAATAAATTTCCACAAGTATCACATAGTAGCTTCCTTTATTATCTTTTGTCAAAGAATAATACAAAGGTAATATTCATGAGTGTTGTCCTCCTAGTACACAATTTGGGAGAGGAAGTAAATAGAGCTGAAGGAACAAAGAGAATTGCAGGTCTAGTCATTCAGATCTGCCAAATCTACTCTAGAAATCAATTATTTAAAAGATATCAAACTTGTTGCTGTAGTCAGTCATTTTAGGATGAAAAAATGTCTAACTATTGCTGTATTCTATTACTTTTAAAACTAGGAAAGTAATCACTTTATTTAGAAACAAAGTTAACTGATATATTTATCAAAAAACAAGTGTTATACTTAAATACAATTTATAGAGAAGGAAATTCACATTTACTGAACTCCAGTCATAACACTGTTTCTCACATATTATTTTAAGCTGCTGGTTCTCAATAATAAAATTTCAGATGGTATCAATAAGGAGTTAAGAAGAAAGGCTGTCTTACATACTTTTGTTCTTTACAGCCCCAACTAACTTTTGATTCAAAGACTTCTGAAAGAGCTATATTCAGATAGTTAATTAGTAAATGCCCATAGGATCAACGAATGGGTTTAAACCTACTTAGTTGCTTCTAAACCTGATTATTAAAATGTATTTTTTGAACTTTTGAGAAAAAATATCTGAAAGTATTTTAGGAAAGTTAATTCTAAAACTTTACCTGCAAAACTTTATTTAATCACTAAGGCCTCAAAGAAAAAGAATGTTCTCCCATAAAGCAACAGAAAGGTTTATCAAAGTCTAAAAAAACAAGAATAATGACCTTCATTTTCTAGTCAATGAAAATGTCAGTCTCCATAAATCAAGTTAGATATATAACAATGCTATAATCTTTCAAAAGACTGAACATTTTATTTCTAAACTGAATACATTTAGACAATTGTGCCTCAAAGCCCAAACTAATAATCTGAAATCCATAGATAATTGTATTACAGGATCCATGTCATTACAAATCTTTTAATTCACCCTGACTTTCTTGATTTATTTCTAATGGTAAAGCCGAATACAAGGCTCACACTTCTCCATTTTATTTCTGCAAAGATAAAATAGCTGCAAAACATATAGATGGACATTTTTAATTTCCTCAAACTACCTACCTAATTAACAACTCTTCCTTTCATGACCCCTTTCCTTCAAGAACTAGTAACTCCCACAACATAACTCAACTAATCATCTTCCAACATTACTAAGCACCCAGACGTGTATACCAGTGCTTTATAAAGAGATCTGCTATGTATCATCTTCTCATTTCTGTCTTCAGTGTTTCCTGTCACTCCATTATTCCTCCTGTGTACAACTTCTGTCATACCAAATGATAATACTGAGTTCTCACAGATACTTTCCTTTTCATATATTTGATTCCTTGCTCAGATGTTACACACGCTTCCTTAAAAAACCACTTTCAACCTATGGGAATAATCCTTTCTTCAGTTAGTAAAAATAATTATTATGATTCTCTGTTTTCATATTATGAACAGCAATAATGTAATTCCAGAAGCTTGCTTCCTGAAAGTACCTAAAAACTGTATCAGAGAAACTGGACATTATGAAACTAAAAATCAAACTTAAAAAATTAATCCCAAACCCAGAAATGTTCCTTAGGTAAGAAGTAAACCTTTTGTGGGCAGCCTAAAAAAACAGTATAGATTCTGAAAAAACAAAACAAAATAAACAAACAAATAAATGGAGTTTGCTCTGGCCAAAAAAAGAAATTATGATTTCTGAGATCCCTTGGATACTGATGAAATCAAGTCAACCAGTTGGCTTAGAAGAAGAGGAAAAGAAATCAAGTTTCACTGAAGAATACATTCAGCCGTGAACACTGATCATTACATTAAATTCTGGCCAACAAATCTGGATGGTCAGGGGTAAGGACAGAATTCTGGGAAGCACAAAACCATAGAGAAGAACAAGGAAGGATATTGCAAGGTCTCTCACAAAGTCTTTGGACAGCCCAAAGCCTGATTACGCCCAGATAATCAGGGACCAGAGTTCGAATGGAGTAAGTGGCTAAATTGAATAATAATTTAGCCAGCTTGGGAAGAAGGATCACTCACAGTGAATTCCAACAAACACAACCCAAAGCTACCTTATCCAAAAAAACTACCTAGTATCCAATCCTTAAACACCCATACTTTCACCTTCAAACTCTCAAACTCTCATAATCTCCTTTCTAAATTTAGGATTTATAACAATGATCCATGTTTTTAATCAATCCCTCATATAAAATTTACAAAAAATATAAAAATTAATATTTGTACTAAAAATGCTATGGCTGTCATGTGAATCTTGCCTCTAGTGAAATAAACAGACATGAGAGAAACCCAAAATTGAAGTCTTCAGCTAAGATTAACAACAGAGACACTGGTTTTCACACAACCTACAATGAATAATTTTTAAATTATCTGATGAATAATTTCATCTAGGATTCAGAGTAGGTATTTGAAGAGCTGTGCCTTTCGGAACCTCTCATAATCCTCCAATGAAGAAACCTAAGTGATCACCTCAATGGAGTCAATGGTCAGTGACTAGCCAAGCAGATCAGAGCCATCCCTCTTGCGGTAACCCAATCCAAAATTGCCAGCAGCTCCTTTAGCCTTTTGGTGTATTCATTATAGCAAATACTCAGTTTCCTTTCTTAATCCTGACTCTATCAATGAGAGAGACCTTATAAACTAGAGTTTTTCATTATTTTCTGTAATAGTCTCTTCCCATAAATGGGTAGTAGTGGCATTAGAAAGAGAAAGAGATGGCACCAGGAACAGGATGAAATGAGAATACAAAGGTGTTAACCAGGAAAGCAGTGAGAGAGCTTTAACTCCTGAAGATGATATAAAATGCTGTGACACCCATATAAAATTTAAGAACAACAAAAAATGCATTCCAGGAATATTTTTTAATTATTCAAATTGGTTCCCCACCATTAGCATAGTCAATTAAGAACTGTAGTAAAACTAATACTAAAACTAACTATATTATACCAGAAATGAAATTCTTTTGGAAGTACATAATTGTCCAGAACTATGTTTTTAAAAAATCTTGCTAACATATTGCTTATTATTTAAAATATGCAGAAGACATTTTTTTTATTTGACCTTCAGGTATTTTTGTTTTTACTAAGAGCCTAGCAAGAAACTGTTCTTGAATTTCATTTCTGATTTCAATATCAATATAAATAAAAATGTAGGTTTTATTCCATACCTATCTTTGATCTGTCTGGCAGCCTTGGAGCAGATCAGGGAGGAGAGAAAGAAGGCAGTTAGTGCTTTTCATGCAAGTTTCAATGGCAGTGACATGCAAGAAAAGTTAGGATATAAACCCTGGAACAGATTAGTTCATATTCACCAAAACATAAATTATAGGAAATTTGTACAGTTTGTATCAGCTTGCATAATGTGATGTTAGAATTATAGTAGAAAATCTAGAACTCATATATACCACCTTAAAAGGAGGGAAAACAAACACTTCCAACTAAAACCAGATGACTACAAATGTTTTTTCTTACCTTAAAATTATCATAACACACTTGCACTTTCACTCAGTCACTCCTCCACTAGAACCACCCTCTCCTTCCCGGGCACCCATTTCTATGCATTCTGATGTGTGTTTTTTTTTTTTGTTGTTTTGTTTTTTGTTGTTGTTTTTTTTACATATTTCAAATCTACTCTCCAGTTTTCTTCAGAGACCTCTCTCACCACTTCATAATGTTTGTTCCAAGTTTTCTCTATCTGCCTTCACTGAGCAAAGACTGTATTCTGAGAGCTTGCCTGCTAACATAAAACTAGGCTGCAGTTCTACATTCCTTTACCCTCAAAAAGTAAGTTCTAATGGCAAAAATTCAAAGGAGAAACCTGAAAAATACTTGGAGCAATGGGATCTTCTCTCAGATGACTTTTTTTTTTTTTTTTTTTTTTTTTTTTTTTTTTTTTTTTTTTTTTTAGAATGCTAGCATAAGTTTAGGAAGGGGACAGAGCTATTACTTGCTGACAGTCACAGAAAAATACAAATAAAAACTATTTTCCCCTTTGTATTCACATGCAATATAATATATCCACCAAAAGTTTTTTTTTCCATACTGACCAGAGTAATTAATGATATATCCATGAAGATCATGTTTTACTTGACATTCCATCCCCAGTGTCTAGCATAAAGCTTAGCACACAGCAATACTTAATAATTATTAAATGTAAATCAACAGTAAATATATATAACAAAGCTTCTGTTGCCCCTCGTCTTCGGTTTTAACATTGTCCGTACTAACAATCATTTTTAAACCCACCCTAGAATATTCTGATATGAGAATCTTTCTATACAAAAGAACAAAACTGCAATTTAGATCAGCATATGATGCAGTTCCAGCACTATCATAATCAATCCTGTGGCCCAGTATACTAATCATTCTATTTCTTTATTGAGGGATTTGAGTCCTTACTGTTTCTAAAGACCCTTTTTAAGCTCCACATTCTGCAGCAGACAACCCAATGCTATGATATCTATAATCATGACACTATTTTGTTACTAGGATAAGAAATGTTATAGTGGTCAATTACATTGTTTGTTTGTTTTTAAGCACCTGTCATTACAGCTAGTGTTACAAACCAAAGCTTTTAATATGTGTCAACGGGAAGAGGAGACTCTTCTCTGTAGTTGATGTTTCTTCACATAGGGAGAAGCTCCACTAGCATTATCCCTTAGCCTCTCTGCTCCCTCATTTCTCTTGGAAAGGCGCTATGACCTAATCTGACTGACTGACTTTGGAAGGAGACACTAGAAATAAATAGCTCAGCACCTTTCCCTTTTCCTGACAGCTTGCTTGCCCACAGAGAACATATATTCTGTTCTTTCCCTTGATGCAGTAAGTTTCATTGAAACAGATTACCCCCAAAGACACCTGAGGTAAACCTGTCCGTTTCTACAATTAGGGAAGTTTGCCCATTGATATAAGCCAAATTCTCCAATATCATTTTAACAATATTTGGCCTATTATTAGCTTTATTGTTTTATTTTATTTCTCAACTTTTTCGGAACTTGGTTAAAGGGATATTACTAACCAGTGTCTCTCAAATAACCCAACAATATAAAGCCCATCACAATTTTTTAAACTTACCATATTTTTGTTTCTAGTGGTACTTAACTTACTAAAATGTCATTTTTAGTGTGTGCAAGTGTACACATGTACACATGCATATAAAGCTTTCATGTTATCATCTAATGTACCTGGCTGTTTGTGACAAGCAGAAATGAATAGATAAAAAGCCAACTGATTTAGGAAAAACTGTTGGTTTATACCCGGTTGGTAAAGCTGGAGACTCAGTGCTTCTTCTTTTATTTAGGTTCAATTTTTTATAGTACATTCACTGTGCAAATGCAGGAAGGTTGAAAAAGTTATTCTGTACAATGATAAAGAGTAGAAAGTCTCAAATTCCGAAAATATTTCTCTAATAAGGCCCAATTTAAAAAAAAATGTCTTGAATTGGAAAACAGGTTAATTTTTTTTCCTGGAATTTCTTCTCCCAAAGCTGAAAACTGTCTAAAAGATACACATTGCAACGTTGCTTGATTCCTCTAAGTTTCAATTTCAACTGTTAGGCATTTTGTCACTTAAACATCTCTGCTTTCTAAGTACATTTATTAGCAACTACATAATTCCACTTAGTAAGCTATGAAGAAGCATCAGTGAATACTTAGAATTTTAGGTTATGATACTGTGTATCACTGGAAAGCCTTCAAGAAGTATTAGTCATATTACCTTGCTTAACATGATTATTTTCTATTTCAATTTCAATCACTATTTCTATTTCAACTTTCTAATGAAATATCGTTTGCCAACATTTCATTTCCCTCTGATCATATCAGACATGACTCCTTTTATCTCTTTCATTCCCTTCCTCCATCTCTCCATTAATTGTTTTCAAAAACCTTATAATTCTGATCTTTATCACCTAAGACGCTAAAAAGAATTGTAGTAAGGGTACAATGTAGTAGTAATCACAAATGATTCTTCATAATTACAAATTAAATATAAAGACAAACAAGATCTTTTCCTAATTTCTCATTTTTAATCTGCAATTAGTGGATATAAAAACTTTTTTCTTCCAAGACTTTATCCAGCCCTTTGAGGGTTAAGATCTTATTGTTTCTATGTTCTTTCTTAAACTCTCATTTTTCTCTTTTTATAGAAAGACTAGAGGCCCAGTGCACAAATTCATACACAGGTGGGGTTCCTCGGCCTGGCTGGCGATCAGGGCTGACTTGCCTGGTCCAGGGTGAAGGACCACAGGAGGTTGGCCAACCACAGGAGGTTGGCTGAGGGAGTGCACTGACCACCACCAGGGGGCAGCTCCTGTGTTGAGCATCTGCCCCCTGGTGGTCAGTACATGTCATAGTGACTGGTCATAACAGTCTCAGGCTTTTACATAGATAGATAGATGTTAGAAGCAAAGTATTCTAAAATAATTCTAGTTATGGAGCAGCTAAATTGAATAGTGTTTTCTAAACACAGGTAAAAGAAGTTTTAGGCTTTGCTTACTGTACTCAATGAATCATTTTCCCAAATAGAACAAAATTTGAGATTTCCAAATTTCTTCCCAATCAGTAGAGATTGTTTTAACTCATCAGCAAAAAATAAGAAGCAATGACCAAAGTTTAAGAGATCTGAGTTTCAGCCCATTACATGAACTTAGCAAGTTATTAATAGTTAACTCTATTAGAACTCAGTTATCTCATATATAAAATGATGAGCACTAAGCTATCTTCCAAACCTGAAAGTCCATCGTAAGCCATCTTATATGTAGATAACTTTTAAAAAGTATCCAAAATAAATTAAGCATCTTAACAATAGAATTTTCTGAAATATGGGCTGAAATGGAAAAGAAGCAGCAAAGAGTTAAAATCAGAGAGCACTGATAATCAGGAACCAAAATAAGAATATATCAATATCTATTTCTAAATTATAATTGCTGAGAGAAAAATACATTAACCCTGTCAAACGGATGAATCTAGCAAAAGCTAGATGTCAAAACTGGTATTTTCCTGAGAGGATTTATCTTTATTTTGATTTGCAGTAAAGCCCAATAGAATTCCTAGTAAAATCTGAATGCCACACAACACTGAGAAACTTTTCCAGCCTTATCTACATGTTCCCATTGTTTTATACTTCAAAATTTCCTACTGGATTTGGGACAGATAATTTTGTAATGTTTCCTTGAGATAATCTGAAAATGTATAAGGGGAAAATATTTAATACTTTTTCAATACTTTTTTATAATATATAATTGAGAAATCTACCCTCACCCCCAAAATGCCATATTAAGAAAATAATTTGGGGAATAAAGGAGACTTAGTTACAGAGAGTGAAAAGAGGTAGCTTTAAAATGCTATTTTTTCTTAGGCAAAAATACCAACTTTCAAAGAAAACAACACTGCATACCAAGCTTCCATACATTAGAAGCTTTATAATTTCAATATAAATGTTTATAAAAAGAACTATTTTTAAAAACACATTCACAAAGTCACAGTAAATAACTTGAAATAAACTTTGAATATAGTATTGCTCACATCTGTTCTATGACTAAGGACATTTATAGAATAGACTACATTTTTATAGAACATAAACATTCAAATTAAGTAGAGGGGGGAAATTGTAGCTTGAGCTATTCTTAACAAATATTTAGATTTTTTTAAAAACTGCCTTCATAACTGAAACATTCATGCTTTTGGTGAAGGTCCTCTCCTCTCCCACATTCCTGAAGTTGGTCCATAGAAGCAGCTTCTGCTCCCTTGGAAATACTGAGGGAGCTTCTATCCCTTTCCTTATTTGCTCCTCCCAGAGGTCAGAGCCTGACACTCACTGAACAATATTCCAATGATTGTGTGTCAGAGGTGGGAAGTACACAAAACCCAGGCTCATTTTTCATCTGTGATCAAATGTAGAAGATATTTCCTTTTTGCCTTAATCTGTAACATTTCATTTCATAGTAGGCAGCTGGGCAGGTAACCATTCCATCCTTTCCAGTCTAAGAAGTGGGTTATGTGTGGCAAGATTGTGATAAAATGTCTGGTTAGTTATATTGACTTGAAAATTGTCCCCCAGACTCAGCTCTTCATAAGTAGAATTCAAGTTCTAGATTCAGAGGATGGGAAAGTTAGGGATATTAATTTTGGCAAAGGGTCCAAGCAGTGTGGTGCAGGCCAGCTATTAGCAGAGAACCCAGATTTGTTGGGTTTTGGCTATTCATCCATCCAGAAATAAAGTTAATGATCAGATCTCATTTGCTGGTGATCTTTCTTCATATATTTTCTGTCAACCAAACTTATAACAAAAAATGTGAAAATATGTTTAAAATATTTTTCCATTTGTGCTATTTTTATTGGTAAGTAGTATAGCTTCATACACAATTTTCATATTGAAGGACAACAATGTGATCATTTAAATATCAATACTTAAAATTCTTTTTTTAAGATAGCAAAGTCTAAAAAAGATTAATGGTTTGGATATTAGCCTATGATATTTTTTTGCCTCCATGAACTATTTATATTAATTGGATTTAATCACTTTAATATGGGACATTTGTAAACAGTATACCTTAGAAGGACTTCTTTTTTCCAAATATCTGGCAATATACTGCTAGTCCAACAGTTAATCTTCAAAGTCATCTTTTCATTTTCTCTCAGCAATTAGGTGTTTGGGGCAAGCCTATTATCCATGTAGCTGGCCAGGAAAGTGAACTTAGGTTCTGACTTGGAATCAAACATTTACCTGGATCCTCTTTGGAAATACTCAGAAAATTGCAAGCAATTCTCAGTTAAGCATTTTTTTTTTTTTAAATAAGAAACTTAGATTTCTGGCTAGGAAACACTGAATTCATTTCACCACATCTCCAAATGGTTTAAGCTATTAAGCAATACTGCAAAATGCTGGAAGACAAAATTAAAACTATTAAGATAAGCCAACTGGCACATTAAAAAATATATTTAAACCACAATGTGATTTATTTTATCAGAACCTTTCTATTTACAAATAGCTGGGAACAAGTTTTAATTAACAAAGATGGAAAGAACAAAAAGAGAAAAGGAGAATAATAGCCTTTGAGAGGAAGGCAAGAGAAGGACTCAAATGTGAATGAAGAGAGAAACTTGGAAAAAACAAACTCTTATCAGTTTTTCCAAGCATCAATACCTATTTAAATTCAACTGGAATGCAAGTTATCTTTGTATTTGTGCACACATTTTATAGTTGTCCTGTTTGTTCCTCATTCTCAGGCTCTCAACTATTAATTCCATGACTATGCCTTGTCATTAATAGCTGCTCTAGCCACTACAAGGGAACTCCTGACAGCTAGAAAACAAACAAACAAACAAAAAAACCTAATAATTTTAGTACTAGGTACATATTAATAGCTAACAGATTCTGAGGCTATTGAATAGAGGGTATGTCTCTTGCCCATGAACTCTGTGACGCTGTTCTTGAGAACTCAGACATCTTTTGCTTTCTGCATGTATTTGGCTATAAAGTTATCATATATACATCCTCTAAATAGGAGACATATTTATATTTTTAAGTACCTTAAAGTATGATACAGTTCCCTCATAATTACTTTATATAGTACTGCCAAATGCAAAGATGAATTTCCTCACAACCCACCTACAAATTAAAGAATTAATTAGCTCACTGATTTATAGAAAAATAACTTTTGTTTTGATTATTTTTGTTAAAAGAAATTAGTTTTTAGAGTTCATTTTTAAAATGTAGGGATATAAACCAACAAATGTTACCTTCTCAAGAAAGATTTTTCTACTTTCAAGTTCACAGAAAAATCATAAAAATGCAAACATTCGGTGGACACAAACTGATTATAAAGCCACCTTTCTAACACTAATGCAGCTCACTGGTTTGTCCAGGAAGACCAAGAAAAATAACATCAAACTAAAATATTTTAGCTTAATAAGATTACTAATCTATATTTTTATAATTATATAGCTTAATTCCCACTCTTTTCACACCATTTTCAATATATATAACATCCTTATTGTATATAAAATATAACAGAAATGATCAATTGGTAATCATTGGAAAACTCTATATAAAATAAAACTAGAAACTAGAATTCAAAATCTCTTAAATACCAGGACCTAGGTTAAAACATTAACAGTTTTTTTGCTCTACTGTTCATATTTTTATACCAAACATTCCGCTAAACAAGGGAGCTACATTTTCATATTTTAATAAAACGTTCCATTTCTTAAGATAAAAGATTAATAAGAACTTTAGTATCAAGATCTCACTAAATTGCAGTGCTCATCTGCATCAAGTGATGATGTTTACCAATCAGCTCAGAGAAAGGAATTCAAAACTAGACTTTATATTTTTTTTAGACTTTATATTTTTTAGATTAAGTCCAAAGTTAAAAGGGAAAATACCATTTTTTTTAAAAATCAAAACTTTCCTTTTTAAGTGGCTTAATTTAGATTTTTTGGTTGATTTTTTTGTACCTTTGAAAATTCTTCAGCCTCCTTTATATCTAATGACCGTGTTGCAAATTCTAGCAGTTCTTCAGAGTTCTCCAGGGCATTATTACATTGACTAAGCTGACTCTAGAAAAAAAATTAATCATTAAAATAAAATTTCCTATTGCCATCAGAATCTTAAATATACAGTACTGTTATAATGAACTTACAAAGAATTTTAATAGAATAACTGAACAAAAATATTGTAGAGAGTTAATGAAGCAGATAATCACAAGTCATATTTTAAACAAATTTTTATTATCTTAATACATTATACTTAACATCATAAGCAAAAATAGACAAAGGGGACTATACCGAAACTTCTCCACTGCTAGTGGGAATGTAATATTATAGCAGCATGGAAAACAGTATGGAAGTTCCTCAAAAACCTAAAAATAGAATTGCCCTATGAACCAGTAATACCACTTCTGGGTATATAAACAAAAGAATTGAAAACAAAATATCTTAGAGATATTTGCACACCCATGTTCACTACAGCATTATTCACAATAGGCAATACGTAGAAGGAACCCCAAATATCCACAGACAGACAAATGAATTAAGTGTGGTATGTACATACATTGAAATATTATTCAGTCATAAAAAAGAAGGAAATCCTAGCACATGCTAAAGATGGACAAATCTTATGGACATTATGCTGAGTGAAATAAGCTGGTCACAAAAGGGACAAATGCTTTATGGTTCCACTTATAGGAGTTACCTAGGGTAGTCAAAATAATGAAAACAGAAAATACAATAGTGGTTGCCACGCAGTGGAAGGAGGGGCAAATGGGAAGTTGTTCCAAGGGTATAGAGTTTCAGTTTGCAAGATGAAAAAGTTCTAGAGATCTGTTACACAACTATGTAAATATAGTAACACTGAACTGTACATTTTAAAATGGTTAAGAGGGTAAATCACACATTGGTTTTTATTAGAAATTTTAAAAAATGAGATATTAATGACCCCAAAAAAGGTAAGAATCATTCTTCTACAAGATAAAAGCAGTTATACACAAGAATTCACTAATTTTTGCTTTCAATAAATCAAGAATTAGATTAAAATTATTCATATTTAAATAGTTTTATGATCTCACCTGTAACTCTTGTGATTTACGAGCTTGTTCCTGCTTGATACTATTAATCATACTTTCTTTCACTTCATCCAATATAGAGTATAAACTATCAAATTCTTCATCTAGCTCTGAAAGTATGTTAGAAGAATTTTCCTATTTAATAAGCAAAACAAAATTATTTTACTGAAGAGCTGTCAGACATTAAAAACTAAGATATATTTATCAAAAGAGAGAATAGATACATATTATAAAATCTCAGCCTAACATCATCAAAATAACAGAATTCTAATATTTGATACAAGACTTTAAAAACACAAAAAATCGAAGAAGCTGGTTGTTAATGCTGATAGTATGTGTTTCAGCTGTACTATGAGTTAAGCAACCTTTTATGGAATAGCCCATACTCTCTTCACCTTTTATAATGCTGTTTCCATAGGACAATGTGAAAGGCTGTCTTGAGGTTGACAAGTTATCTAGACCTTCAGGCTCAAAGGCAGACCCTAAGTCAGTAGTTCTCAACCTTTACTGTGCAACAGAATCATTAGTGAAGCATTTTAATAAAACATTTCAGAGATTTTTATACAATTTATTGTAATATCATAATTCAAACTTTTGCTTATGTTAATAAAAACCAGTCATCATCACACCAGAGTCTTACCAAAAGTGGTATTAATCATTTTACTAGTTTATTTACAATGGTAAAAAACAAGCTGTGGAAGAAAAAATATGCAGTCTAGAAGGCAGAAGACTTAAATCCCACATCAATCATTCAATAATAATACAACTTTGGACAAACCACGTAAATTCCTTAACTTCAATTTACTTATCAAAATTGGACTACTCTTTTTCCCCTCAATAACCAACTGACACATTCTTATAGTGTCTGGCTTACTCACTCCCTTGTATGCACCCATCTTCAGTGACCAATCTAGTTTAATTACCCTTCTATTTTTTTTTCTGGATGCCAAGGTATAGTTCTATTAATCTGGCAATCAGAAAAATATTTTGGGCTAGTTCTATCTTTTGGTCTCTTTGTTCAGATGTCAAATGTCATGATTCTCTTACCCATAGATCAAGAGTCTTAGAACTCTGAGTTTTGCTTACTTTAAAAAAGTGGATTTGTGAATTCACCAAATTTTCCATTAAAATAGTTTGTAGTTTGAGAAAGACTGCTAAAGTGGTGAAGTGAACTGACTTTAATTACAGTAAACTAAGTAAGTGAAATACAATCACTATTAAGTCCAACAGGCCAAGGACCAGGCAATTACCTAGGTTAAAACAAACAAAAACCATAGAAAAGAATTCACTGTTGACAAAAAAACAAACAAAATTGTCCTTTAAATTCATTAAGACACATTCATGGGAAAGCATCACCAGCTTATTTGATTATTTACAGTATGGATTATCTCCCCAAATCCAGGACCATTTCCTTACATATTCCTCTTCTTCCTGTTAGACAACTATGTAAATATAGTTAACACTATATTGGGCACTTGACCTTTTACTTTTATGTTTTACATTCATTTGATTTTATGAGGAGACTTTTACTATCTACATTTTCCTTCCATTATTTACTGTAAAGAATGTTTAGCTTCTCGGTACTTTTGAAAGATACAATTTGCTTAGTTAGAAATAGAAAAGACAAAAATAAAATGGAAAATGAACACTACAGTATTCCTAGAACTGTAATTCGTTTTCTTTTTTCCTTACTACTTGATCATTCCATGGAGAATGCAAGAATAGCAAAGAAAGTATTTTTATCTGATGATTAAAAACCCTGCTCTCATCTCCACTAGTTTATAATCTAGAGCTGATAGGGTGTTTTTATACTTCTGATTTGATCCAACAATCATTCATTATAAAATATTTACACAAACTTTTAATAGAAATTCATACCTGAACTCCTTTTAGTGTTTGATTTAGTGTATCAATAAAGTTCTGAATTTCATCATTTTTATTTGCCAGAGTTGAAATGATCCTTTGTAAAGCTTCCTAGAATCAAAAAAAAGAAACATCTTGATGTTTTAATAAGATAAAATTATAACATTCATTAACAACAACCCTATCTAATCTAATAATCTAATAAAAGAGTAATATGCAAACTGAACATACCTCTGCTACACTCACAAGCCACGCCCACCAGTCAATCAGGAGTGAGTATGCAAATTAACCCAACCAAGATGGCTGTGGCCAAGGAGCAAGCAAAAGGCTTGGGTTTCCCTGACAATGGAGGAAGCCAAGCTTCCTGGCTGACGCAGGCCTCTGCTCTAGGCTACAAAGTTTCAATTGTAGAAGGTAAATAAATCCCAGATATCAGGGCCTCAGCTTGGGTCACCGGGGGGCATGGCCAGCCTGCAAACCAACACAGGCCCCTCACCCAGGCTGCCACATGTCCCAAGGGAACTCCCACCCTGATCCAGGACAACCTTCAGGACAAATCAGCTGGCCCACACCTGTGTACCAGGCCTCTATACTATCTAATAAAAGAGTAATATGCAAATTAACTGTCACTCCAACATACAAGATGGCTGCCCCCATGTGGTCAAAGATGACTACCCTAATGTGGACACAATATGGCTGCCACAAGAAGGCCAACAGGAGAGGGCAGTTGAGAGGGACCAGGCCTGCAAGGGAGGGCAGTTGTGGGCGATCAAACCTGCAGGGGAGTGCAGTTAGGGGTGACCAGGCCATTAGAGGAAGGAAGTTGGGGGCAACCAAGCCTGCAGGGAAGGGCAGTTAGGAGCAATCAGGCTGGCAGGGGAGCAGTTAGGCATCAATTAGGCTGGCAGGGAAGTGGTTAGGGGGTGATCAGGCTGGCAGGCAGAAGCAGTTAGGGACAATCAGGAAGGCAGGTAGGCGAGCAGTTGGGAGCCAGCAGTCCTAGATTGTGAGAGGGATGTCTGACTGCCCATTTACACCTGATTCTACCGGAAGGCACCAGGCAGTCGGACATCCCTTGAGGGGTCCAGATTGGAGAGGGTGCAAGCTATGCTGAGGGACACATACCCCCATGCACGAATTTCGTGCACCAGACCTCTAGTTCTCTAAATAAACCCTTTATTTAACCCTTTATTTAAGAGAATATATATATATATATATATATATATATATATATATATATATATATATATTTATTTATTTATTTTTAAAGCCTAATCAACCATTTGACTGGTAGCTATGATGCGCACAGACCACCAGGGGACAGAAGCTCAATGCACAGGCATGGAAACTGATGAATTTCAGAGGGGAAAGGGGGAGGGCAAGAAGAGATTAACCAAATATCTATATGCATACTAGAGGCACAGTGCATTCTGTGCACAGTGCATCAGTGGGTTCCCTCAGCCTGGCCTGCGTCCTCTCACAATCCAAGACCCTTGGGGGATGTCGGAGAGCTGGTTTCGTCCTGGTCCCCGGAGGTCAGGCCAAGGGATCCTACCAGTGCATGAATTTGTACACCAGGCCTCTAGTTATACAATAAATAGGTGCAATCTAAAGCTTCTTGTTCAAAATTTTCTAAAACCTAAAATTAAAAAGATGGGATATGTACATGTACTGTTCTAAAATATTTTATTCATAATAAACACATTATGGGATATGTACATGTACTGTTCTAAAATATCTTATTCCTAATAAACACGTTAATCACCATACCTTTCACAATGAAGATGATCACTATTAATTAATATAAATTGTTTTATTTTAGGTTATACAGCTGTGGCAAAGAAATAGAACCAAACCTTAAATGCTGCAAAAACAAATGGAAATTTCTAATACAAAATCAGGATACTAGGAATAAAAACAGAGATAATTTGACATTTTGTTTATTTATAAAAACATAAACATATTTTAGAAATATGAAAGGTAATACACGTGCAACTTAAGTTACAAAAATTCATTGTAACATTTATAGATATTATAGAAGCATAACAAGTATGTAATTTTAGTAGCAAATACCTCAGACTTTTTGGTAATGCTTCCTACTTAAAAAAACACTTGGTTATTTCTCATACACTCTAGTTCAGTACTATCCAATAAAATGTTCTGCTATAATGGAAATGTCTTCTACATGTGATGTCCAATATGAAAGTCACTAGCCACATGAAATTAATGCACTTTTGAAATGTAGATAGAGCAACTGAGAACCTAAATTTATTTTTTAACTTTAATTTCACTTTTTTTATAGCATGTGGAACAAATAATGTCATATTGGACAGCACAGGTATAGCTGTTTAATAACTCTCCATCGGTAGTAACAGCAAGACCCAAAGTATTTGTATTCCCAGTAAAAAATCAAATAGAAGTATTTATATTTTATAATTTTTCCAGACACACAAGCCTTGTATTTGTAAACATCTACAAGTGTAAATATTTTAATAACTAGAGGCCTGGTGCATGAAATTCATGTGGGGGCAGGGGAAGGAGGTGTTGCTCAGCCCAGCCTGTACCATCTCCAACCTGGAACCCTCAAGGGATATCCAACTGCCCATTTAGGCCCAATCTCACAATCTAGGACTGCTGGCTCCCAACTGCCAGCCTGATCATCCCCTAACCACTCCCTGCCAGCCAGATTGATGCTTAACTGCTCCCCTGCCAGCCCAATTGCCCCTAACTGCCCTCCCCTGTTGGCCTGGTCACCCCTAACTGCCCTCCCCTGCCAGCCTGGTCACTCCTAACTGTCCTCCCCTGCCAGCTTGTTCCCCACAACTGCCCTCCCTGTAGGCCTAGTCCCCCCAACTGCCCTCACCTGCCAACCCAGTCATCCCTAACTGTCCTCCCCTGCAGCCTCATTGCCCCTAACTGCTCTCCCCTGCTGGTCTGGTCCCTCCCAACTGCCCTTTCCTGAAGGCCTGGACGCCCCCAACTTTCCTCCTCTGCCAGCCTGGTCACTCCTAACTGCCCTCCCCTGCAGGCTTGATCGCCCACAACTACCCTCCCTTGCAGGCCTGGTCCCTACCCCCCAACTGCCTTCCCCTGCAGGCATGGGTCCCCCTCCCCCAACTGCCCTTCTCTGCAGGCCTGGTCCCTCCCAACTGCCCTCCCCTGCTGGCCATCTTATGGCAGCCTTCTTGTGTCCACATGGGGGCAGCCATCTTGTGTGTTGGAATGACAGTCAATTTGCATATTACTCTTTTATTAGATAAGAGGATTCCCATAAGATTTTGTTTGATAAAGGTTCTCCTCAAAAATATAAGCAAATATTGATAAAAGGCTATAAAAGGAGCTCAGGCAGTAATCTGATAAAGAAATAACACTTTATATAAATGCTAATAAAGCATTATGGAAGTGAAAAATTAAAAAGAATTACTACAGTTCTTATTTAATTCTCTCAACAATCCCTGTAGATAGTCTTATCATCATCCCTTGGGCTGACTAGGGCTCTGTGCAGTATTCTACTTACCTATACTATTTCTTCCTATCCTCACCACTGGTGGTATTTTAATACAATAATAGCACAATAAAAAAAGGCCCATATCAAGAGTTAGCTGTTTATCCTGTTGCTGTAACTACCAGAAACAGGTGTACCAAGATTTGAATACAAAGATGCAGTATGGAGCTGAACTTGGGGGAGGAGTGGGCACAACTGGAGAGACATAGAAAAGGAAGGCAGAGGACTTAAGAGTCTTCCTAGTAACCCTGGCCAGGTGGTGCAGTGTTGCCCTGTACACCAAAAGATTGCAGGTTGGATTCCCAGTCAGGGCACATACTAGGTTGCAGGTTCAATCCTAATCGAGGCGTGTACGGGAGTGTCTCTCTCTCTCTCTCTCTCTCTCTCTCTCTCTCTCTCTCTCTCTCTCTCTCATCAATAAAAAACAAATCCTCAGGTAAAGATTTAAAAAAAAAAAAGAAGAAAAAACACACCAAGTACCAAACAAGTATTTACAAAATTAGTCAGTCCATTATGACATATATCTGACTCATTTATTAGCAAAATCTGATGGTGAAAGAAAGCAAAGAAAACTTTCATCTGCTCCATGGGATCCTATCAATCTGAAAGGATGCCTACAAGGGTCTCAGATTTCATCTCAGATCTCAAGTCTCCTATTACCTTCCAACATTGATGGACAAAATGATAAACAAAGATGGATAAAGGCAATATACATTACACAAAGCTCGTCTAGATAATTTAATTGTATTTTGCAAGATGTCAAGTAGCCATAACTAAAAATTCTAGGTGATGTACATCTGAAGATATGCTTTGACAAATACCAATTCTGCTGGATCATAGTAAAATATATAGGGCAAATGTCTTCAGAGAAGTGTGCACAGGCAATCTCAGACACAATCTTTTGGTCACATAACCCAATCACTAGGGAAAAAATTCTGATTCCAATTCTACATTAGTATTTCAGACAGTTGAGATATACAAACCTAGAACCATTGCAAATATCACTAATTACTAATTGACCTACCACTTAAGAGGGTCAAACTATTATTATAGGCATTTCAATTAGTATAGTTTAAGCACTTTATGTGCCAAGCAATGTGCTAAGGTTTGAACAAGAATGTCTTTTTTAATTTTCACAACAGATTTTTGAAAAGTAATATGTTAGTCTTTGAATTTTATGGTTGAAAAAGGGAAGGCTAAACAAGTTAAGAAATGTTCTTAGATCACACAGCTATCAAATGGCAGCTACAATTCAAATACAGGAAGCTGCTTCAAAGCCTGTACAGCTGTACTATTTAATAATGTGGATTTTTTTCAATGGATGGAGTTACACATATGTTGATACATATACGATTTGATATGTATGCTATTTTGTTGTATTGAAAACAAGCTTCAAAATTTCACATGTCAAATTTGCTCAAGGTATTAACATCATAGTTATTTTTATGCTTAAAAATGTCAAATTTTGTGCCCCAAAAAGTGCATTTGTGGGAAGTTTGAATTCATTATTTTATTTTAAAGAAAAGTGCTGCTGAGTATTTTGTAATTGAAATGCTCCATCTCAAGATACTTGTGAATGCTGGTTAAAATGTTTTAAAAGTGATGA